AAACAAAGTTAAAAGCGAGCAGTATGATGCCTTACATGAACATGTTAACAACATTGCGAACGATCGTAATATTCAACCAGGGCGAGTAGTAGTTTTGCCATCATCTTATGTAGGGAGTCCTAGAGCTTTAAAAGAAAACTTTGAAGATGCTATGGCAATTATTAAAAAGTATGGTAAACCAAATCTTTTTATTACTTTTACTTGCAACCCAAAATGGCGTGAAATAACAGAAAATTTATATCCGGGTCAGACTGCGAATGATAGACCTGATTTGGTCACTCGAGTATTTAAACTCAAGTTAAATAACCTCCTCAATGATATATTCAAACATGGTGTATTGGGCAAAGTTGTAACGCATGTTCAGGTTATTGAGTTTCAAAAGCGTGGTTTGCCGCATGCCCACATTTTACTTCATTTAGCCAATGATGATAAACTTGAAACAGCACAGGATATCAATAATTTAATATGTGCAGAAATTCCAGATCCGATTGTAAATCGTGAACTTTCTAAATATTAATACTCTAATGAATAGTGCGCATAGTTACGTCTATTGTTTTATGGTTACGGTACGGTTCTGAATTTTGTAAAATACACTTTTTAAGTAGTTTCTTGACTTTTCTTAACCGCGTGCTCTCTTAAAGAAGTCAACATTTCATGGTACGAGTTCAAAATGTCTAAGTAGATAATGTTTAATCTAAGTAGATAGGTAATATAAAATCTTTTTAAAATTTTATAAGTAATTAATTTATTTTAATCTCTTTTAAATTGTACTCTTAAATTTAAAGCTTCGTGTTATAGATGTTGATATTGAAAGTATAGATATTACTATGGTGTCTACTGTTAAAAGATATTTACGGGTAGTTTCATGCTTTCACATGCTTTTAATAATTGGAATAAAAGCCATGACAACATTTTTTTATAAATAAAATTTATCTATAGTATTGTTAATACTTTGGCTCTTTGAAAAAAAATATGTTTCTGGCTTTTCAATAAATATATAATAATTTGTCTTGCATTAATGAATTTTGGTTGAGGATATAATTGTGTTATTATATGTTTGTTTTTCTGTACTTAATATAGCATTTATCATTTGCATACATTTTTATTTAAGTTTAATTGTTTATAATTTATTTAGATTATTAGAAAATTCATCTTTATAGAGTTGTTATTTAATCATAATCAAGTTGTTAAACCAAGGAAATTGTAGAGGTTTATTTATCAATTTATACAATAAATTATATAATAATATTGGAGGAAGTAAGTTAAAAAGCATTTTTAAATTTTTAAAAAGAAATAATACTTTTCAATATATATCTGTTTTTTTTTGAGGTAGATTTAATGTTTCAGGTTTTCAAAATTGTCGATCTTTTCAATGTCTAAATAGAGTTGTTATTTAATCATAATCAAGTTGTTAAACCAAGGAAATTGTAGAGGTTTATTTATCAATTTATACTATAAATTATATAATAATATTGGAGGGAGTAAGTTAAAAAGCATTTTTAAATTTTTAAAAAGAAATAATACTTTTCAATATATATCTGTTTTTTTTTTGAGGTAGATTTAAAGTTTCAGGTTTTCAAAATTGTCGATCTTTTCAATGTCTAAATAGACATTAAGTATTTCAATTTCGTAGACATTAAGTATATATAAAATCTTTTTAAAATTTAATAAGTAATTATTTGTTTAAATAAGTTTATTTAGTAATTAATTGTTTATAATTTATTAAGCTTTAAATTATTAGAAAATTCATGTTTACAGAGTTGTTATTAATATATATATAAAACTATATATAAAACTATATATATAACTATATATCCTTGGAGTTGCGGCAGCATAATAGTGTGTTAGGAGAAAAAAAATTTATAAACCCGCGTTAATAACCTGTTTTCTATTGTACATAATGCATTAATAAGTTTTATCACGTGATTTGTTCAATGTTTTCTCCCAACGCATGAACTATGATGCTGTCGCAATTTTTTTATTTATTTTTTTTATTAGAAATTAAATAAATTTTAACTTTTTTTAATAAGTTTTTGCTGATGTGGTTGCAGGTTTTTCTTAACTTCTATCAAATAAACTTAAGAAACCTGTATTACTTTTAATGATGGCAAATTAATTTTATTTTGCATTTGTTTGGTTTCTTTATATATATTTGTTTTGAGAATTCTTTTTTTTAATTTTTCGAGGATGATTTTTTTAGTTATTAAGTTTTTTTATTTTATTGTTAACTTTAGATTAGTAAAAAAAAAAAAAATTATTAGTGCTGCTTTGATAAATTTGTTTAATGAAAATGATGACATTGAAATGAATGATAGGCTAGATGAAGTTATGTATTTATAAGATGATGTAAGTGCTATAAGGCGTGTTGAAAATAATCGTAGACGAAATGAATGAAATTGACTTAGGCGAGATGAAATTAATCATTTACAAAATGAAAGAAATAGGCTCGATTGAGATAATGTTAATCGTCGCCAAAATAAAAGAAATAGGCTCAATCGAGATAATGTTAGTCGTCGCCAAAATGAAAGAAGAGCTGTTGAACAAGGACGAATGTATTCTATAGCGAGAAGTAATGCTATTCCAGATTATAATTATTTAGGAGAAATGAATCAAATTTGTCAGCACTGTGGAGCTAAGAAATTTCTAGATGAAACGCATTTTCATGAAAGTGGAGGCAAAGCTACCTTACCATTATGGCAACATATGCCATAATGGTAAGGTAGCTTTGCCTCCACTTTTACCAATTACACCAGCTTTACAGGATTTGTTTACAGGGAGTTATGTAGATCGTAATGCTAACGCTAATTTTTTAAAGCATATTTGAAATTATAATGCCTGCCTTTCTTTTGCTTCTTTTACAGCAAATGTAGTTCAACCAATGAATCATGGGCTTCCATGTTTCAAAATATGTGGCCAGATTTTTCATCGTGTAGGTAATCTTAGGCCAGATCAAGATATTCCACCAATATATTCTCAACTATATATTTATGATCCACTTGCTGCATTAAATTTTAGAATGCACCAACGTGGTAATGATCTTTGTTTACGTGATTTTAAATCCATTGTGATGTCTTTTAAATTAAACTAAAGTTTACTAAAAGCCAACATAAAAATAACGCTTTTGAACAACACCAAAAAGAACAGCTGCATCCCTACAGCAACTGCTGCAGTATCACAATAGGTTACCAAAAGCAGGTATACTGTTTTCCAGTTGTTGTTTTTTTTTTTATATATATCTACTTATCTATATAATACTATAGTACGATTGTTTATATCTCATTCATTTTTTTTTTCTTTATCTTTAAGTGTTAATAATTTTGTTCTTTGAATGAGATTAGTTAAACAAGTCGGCTTTCTATTAAAGATATTGGTTTCAAAATTAAACACCATTGGCAAAATGCTTACAAAATTAGGTAGTTTTTAAAAATCTGTTTTCTATTTAATACACTTTTTTTAAAATATACTTTTTAAATATACTTTTTTAATATACTTTTCTATAACAATCCTACTAATATGGAATCACGTAGTTTTTTAAATATGTTTAGTTGTCGTCCCTATCGGTAATAAATATTTTAAATTATTTGATATGGTTTTCTTTACAATAGACTATGCTTTGCTCCTCGGTGCTGTAAATGGTGGCTTCAACTTTGTTTTTTTAAGAAAAATGTGTTTTATATATACTTCTGTTTTAAAATATTTTTGTTACATATTTAACTATATATCATGTAAATAAATTTCTTTTAAAGATATGTAAACTTGATACTTGCTTTTTTACGGATTTTCAAAAAGTGAACAATGGTTTAAATATATTTTTTAACTGCCTTTTATGGTTTTATCAATTTTATTAAAGCTGAATAATTACTTCAAAAATCCAAGTAAAATCCAATTGCTTTTATTATTAACCTGATCTATGCAAAAATTAATGAAACAAAACTAATAATTTAACGCCAAGTTAAGGCAAAATGTATTCCGGACATTTTATAAAATTAGTATAAATATGGATTGGATGTATGCTGAAATAAATATGTTGATATACGTTAGCTATAAAGTAAATCGATATATTCCTTTATTGTTTTTTTATAAACAAGTTTCTGCTGGATTACTAATTTAAAAAAAGGTTGGTTTAGTAATAATCTTTATCATATAATAATATAGGATCCGTATGCAGGGCTAAGCCCTTTCCGGAATTGCGATATATTTTTCAACTTATAGTTTTTCCGGATATCCAACTTCTATGCCTACAAGTTTGGGTGTAATATTTTAGATGTTTTAAAAATATTTAAAAAGTATATTAAAAATATTGAAAAGTTTAGGTGCGATAGTGATATATTTTTAAGCTCTTCACTCAGTAAAATGAAAAGTTTAAAAAAATAGAAACGACTTAAACAGCTTAAAGCAAGCGACTTAAACAGCTTAAAGCAAAATTAAGAGTAAAATATATTCCCAATATTTACCTAAACAATTTTACAGAGTTTGAAAGTTTGACATCGATGTTCTGTGACAATTCAAGTCATTTTTAACTACTACATGGTTGTGATTTGCGCAATCAATGTCTGAACATTGCAAAAGAAATGGTTAACTTTATCTTTAATGAAGCTAAGAGTTCTCTTAAACTCAGAAGCCAAGAAAAATAAAAGTGAGCACAACTAAAAAAAATTTATAAATAAATTTATATTTCATTAGAGAATGTAAATAAAGATCAAATTGTTAGTAATGATTTGTTTACTACTAACCCGTATTACGGGTGCTTACTGTATAAATAAATTAATATTTTGTTAGAGAAAGTAAATAAATATCAAATTTTTAGTAATGATTTATTTACTACTAACCCGTATTACGGGTTGCTTACTGCTAGTATGATATTAATCGTCATTAAAAATTGTTAGGATAGCATGTTGTTTTACTGACAAATCCTCATAAAATATTATTAACATAACATATCGTTTTACTGACAAAACTTCATAAAATATTGTAAATGTCTTTTGGTAAAACAAACAAAACTGTTGAGATATAATGTTCAAACCAGCTGTCAATTGTGTTATGTTTTGTCGCATTTAAATATTTGATTTTAAATAATTTCAACGTAATTTTACAAGCCGTGGATTTGAGACTGTTTCTGTTTAAGCAAGCAAAGATAATTTAAAGTTAAATTTCTATTTAAAAACGAAAGTATTAACAAAAAAGGTATTTTTTCTTAAGTGATTAAATAAAAAAATATAAAATTTATTTTTTAAAGATCTTGTTTATGTATGAACGCTTATGTATGAGTTAATGTATCTTTAGTAATAACTGTGTGTTTTTAATAGAAACAACTTAAAAGACATTAGAACTTAGAAGACATTAGAACTTAGAAGACATGCTACTTTAATATTTCCACTAATTATATCCGAGTAATTGAATTTTCAAAATCATTTATTCAAATAAACATAACATTAATTATTCTCAAATTCCTGTAAAAGTATGGTATTTATTTTTGTTCAACAAATTGTGACGCAAGCAGAAAACCTTATTGTCTATGACTTAAAAAAAAAGTCAAATAAAAATTATGAATTTAAAAATTTAATTTTAAACAAAGAATAAATTTTCCTAATTCCATATTATCTTTGACTTAAAAAAGATTAATAAAAAATCAGATTTTTAAAAAATGAATTTCAATCCAAAAACAAACTCCTCTCCTCCCTCTTGTTAAGTTTATATTAAAATTATATTATTTCTATAGAGCAAAGAGTCAGGGTTAGAATATTATATCGTTTCTTTAGAGCAAAGAGCCACTCGATGAAATTTTTAGGAAAACATATTAAACCATACCTGATAATTATATTTCTGAAAAAATATATTATGATAGATTTTAACAAACTTCAATATATTTTATTTCAATAACAGTTTTATGATATTTTAGTGAATTTAAAAAAAGTAGGTTTAAAAGGAAAAATAACTACAAATTGATATGTTACCACATTACTCAATAAAATAAATTTTACTTAGTAGAAAAAAGTAAAAATTTGCAAAACACAAAAGTTGTGTATATTTAAGTATATACATATAAATTTTATTACATATTGTAGTACTATATATTACTAAACTATTAATTAATAATACTATTAAAATATATGTTTTATCAATAAAGTTGAAACATATTATTTCACTTATCTAACATAAAATAAGCATTACCACTTATAATTGAACTGATACTGAACCGCTCAAATTAATTTTTTTTGTCAAATAGTAGGACCGAATTTAAGTACAAATACTGGACATGATATTGGAACAGAGTAAGAAAAAACGTATAAATGCAGAAAGGTTGAGGTTTATTTACCCACTGAGTACCCGCTGAGGGATTTACTTCAGAGACAGCGTCCAATGGTGATAATCTAAGATACTCTCAATTTATACTTCGCGAGTCACAGTTTAAAAACAAACCCACTACTACTAATTTTGGTTGCAAATTGAAATCGAAATCCAAGGATCTTGCTTGTGAAAATGATGGTTGTACAGATCCTGAAAATTCTTGCTTAGTAACTGAGATTATAAAAATTTAGGATAAGGCTGGTTTTGGCATAAAATTTGTGATTTCTGGGTACAATATAAAAACCAAAATCATTAAACTTATTTTAAAGTCAAGAAATCTTTTAAACTGTCTTCTCTAAATTAGGACGCCAGTGTTGATAAGCAATCAAAGTTAGAGAAAGATTTTATCACAGAATCCTATCAGCTTTTTGACATCTCGACTAAGAATTTTATAAAAGATATTCTTGCTGATAGATTGAGAACAGATGATGCCAAGCTGGAAGATTTAAAGTAATTTTAATAAGTAACACTTTTTTGAGTTGTGAGATTTTCTTTCTGATTTAAAGTAACTTATGTAATAACATATTATTTCCTTTCCAATATTTACGTTTAACTCTTTCCATGGTTTGGTCATCTTTCAAGAAAAAATAGTACAATTATTAATTTATTTATAAATGTCATAACAGATTTAAATAATTTATAGTTTTTATGAAGACCAGAAATTGAATAGTATGTGAACAAAAAATAATGGAAACTACAGTAGGAGAGTACTGGATGCATATAAGAGAAAGAACTATCTAGATAAATTGAGAGATAAAGAATTAGAGAAACAGAAAAACTTAAAAGATATAAATTATGTTTTGTTGCCACATTACTTTATGACAGATTCAATTCAGCAATGAGGAAGAAAAATTAGCGAGGAACAAGATTTCCTGGGTAACAGCTGGAAACGCAGGTATAGTATTATTTTAATAACAAAGTTGTAATTTTCACAAAGTAAAGCTGTTTTTTAAAAGTATATAATTATAAATAAGTAAAAAAATAATAGAAAATGATACCTAGGTAAAATTCTGGCGATAGGATAAATCTAGCAGTGAATGTTGAAAAGCTCATTAAATTTACTGCTACTCCAGAAACAAGGTTCAATGTTGGTGTATGACCTCATCTGGCAATTTTAAGTGAAGTATTTAAAGCTGAAGGTATAGAAATTAACGATATACCGCTTTCACGACGCACTTTTCATAGAAAAAAGTTATATGTAGAACTTGAAGAATACTTGGAGTGGTTTCAATAACAAATCATCTTAATGGCTAACGGCTTATTCTTCATTTTGATACCAAACTGTTGAAACAAAATACCACTAGGCTTAAAATTATTCAAAAAATTGAGCAACTTGCAGTCTCAGCGAGCTTCCTGGAAGACAATATGAAAAGGAAGACCATCTTTTAGATGTTGTTCAATGTACCTCATCAAAGAGAGTTGACCAAGTAGAACAATTGCACAACCTTTTAGAGCATTATGGATTTAAAGAGCAGATCATTGGTATATTCTGTGATACAACTGCAAACAATACACGCGGAGTCAATGGAGCAGTCAAAATTCTTATAGATATTTTGAAACTACCAATGTTGTGGAAAATGTGTAGGAGACACATATATAAAGTACATCTATCTCACTATATGGCTGCTCTTACTGAAAAACTCTTTATGTCAAGCTAAAGAACAAGTGGCCTGAAATCTGTGAGAAAGTTAATGAAGTAAAAAATTTATGTAAATTGGAGTGGTAAAGAGATGATCTGGAGACTGGCTCTGTTCTTCGCACTGTTGTAGAGGAAGTTAAGATATTTTTGACTATTGCAACAACTGATATGGCTTTTTCAAGGAATGATTATGGTATAACTTGCCTCCTTCTTCCTTGAAGCAGAAGTACAAGGTTTTAAGTTCTTTTAACCTGGCGCCCGCCATGAGCAAGGTTTTTAGCAGATGCGATCTACATCCTGACTTTTTATACGATCAAAGATATTAGTAATATTCTGACAGGAAAAGAAGTGCTGCAGTTGAAGGATGCAAGTTTGTTTATTACAATTTACTGTGCTCCATGGTTTTTGAAAAGTTTTTTAGGATTGACAATAATTTGAAACCTATCCAGACAGCTTATGCATTAAGAAAGGTTAGTACGAAAATTGAAAATCCTTGCTTCTCAGCATGGAGCGCCATACGTGTTACTTAACTCCGCAACTCTGTGTTTTATACTTTAGGGATATAGAAGTTCCTTATGAAACAAAGCTATAAATGCTGTTAGCTCTGATTGAGTTTGAAGAGCTAAATGAATTTTAGCAATGTAAACCATCAAATGTACTAATAGGAGAGGCCACAGAGCTACCTGAGTTGATTTCCGAGCAAAGTTACTTTCTCTTTAATCATTTTAAATATCAAGAGCAGTTATAAAAGAATGGCTTAATAATAGTCTTAATACTATAGATTTTTGTAACCATCCTCAGTTGCTAGATTTTATTGTATAGATCAAAAACATATCTGTTGTAAATGATGGTGCAGAAAGAAACATTAGGCTCAGTAAAGATTTTATTTCAGTTACTAGATATAAAGATCACCTTCAAAATGTATTTTTTTTAGTTAAAAAGTCTAGAAAAAATATGACTTATAGTATGACCAAAAAGGAACTTGGGAACAGTTCAAAAAGTTGTATTTTTTGAAAAATTGTTTCACCGCAACAAAATCTTAATTTTGCTAATAAAAATTAGTTTTTATGTATTTTTTTTGTATTTTCATATTTATAAGTATGAACTATCAATTTATATAGCAGCAAAAACAATTGGAAATGATTTATACGCATCTAAATTGCTTTAATTTTCTAAAATGTAATTTTTTCTTTTCCATTAATGTTATACCAGCTTAACATTAAAACCGTAAAGCTTTCTGTCAAAATTTAACCGTCAAGTTTTTTTTAGGACTTATTTAGATAACATAAAATGGAAATCAATAAAGAGCTTTTTTTATTTGGGACACCCTAATATATATATATATATATATATATATATATATATATATATATATATATATATATATATATATATATATATATATATATATATATATATATATATATATATATATATATATATATATATACATATATATATATAAATATATATACACACACATAATAGATAGTTACTAATTTCATCTTTTTAGATAAGATTTGTTATTTGTTATGTATGCTAAACATTTTAAATATGAATTTTCAATTTATTGCAAACATCTTCACAATACTTCACAAAACTTCCTTTATACGACTAAGGCAAGTGTTTCGCTGTCAAATTTAAACAAGGATCTAATCGGTACTGAAGTTTTCGTACAGAAAGATAATATTGAGTATAAGTTATAATTACCAATATTTATATGAAATAAATTATTATCTCAGATATTAAATACTATCATAATGCCGTTTTGCTCCTTGTTTAAATGTCATACTTAAAAATTTGCTTTAGTTTTGTGTAAAAAGTAGAACGATTGGGTGCCTTATGGTTAAAATGCAATGATTAGTTCATGAGCTCTCAAATAATAATAATATTTTAATCAGCTTAAATAATTGGCGACCTTTGAAATGTAATAATTAAATCATAGGCTCTCAAACAAGACTAAGATTGTGTTATTATGTAAAACATGATGAATTTGTAGTCAAGTACAAATAAATTTTTACTTAAGTACTTATTTAACAATTGTTAAATAAATGAGGATTATGTAAGTTCAAAAAAGCCTTATATTACACAAAATCTAACAAACGAAGGTTTAAACAGAAAGCCCATCAAAACGCATACATTTATACGTTTAAAAATTAAAAAAAAAAAACGTTGGGTAAATTTCTGTTATCGTTATTCTGTGTTTGAGGTGAACGTTCAAGAACTATCAAAATAAGGTTCGTAGTGAACGCTAAGTAAAAGTTTGCTGTGTGTTATTTAAACGTTCTTATTGAACGTTTAAGAACTGTAAATCGGAATAAAAAGTAACGTTTGCAGCAAACATTAAGCAAACCAAAATGAACATTATGGCAACGTTTTTTAAACGTTATATTTTAACTGCATAAATTTAATTTTTAAGAACATTTATGGAACGTTTATAGAACGTGCTTGAACGTTTTGTGTTAGCTTAAGTAAATGTTTGATAGCAAAGTTTAACTTTGTGGATCATTGTGTACAACTCTTCCCTATCATTAAACTGGTTTCCAAAATTACATAAATTCATTTTTAATGCAAAATTACTTTGAAATTACATTTAAATTTAAATGCAAAATAAAAGACTCATGAAAATTGAACTTAATTTGGTTGCATTAATTAATGCAACCAACTTAAATATTATGGCAACTAAAAATTGAACTGTCTTTAGTTTCTTTTATATAACTTTTTTTTATGTGAAGGATAGTTTTTGTTACTCTTAAAATAATTGTCATTTGTAACCTATTTTCTAATTTTAAAAATGTTTTATTAAGTTGAAATGTTTTATTAAATTGAGATCATGTTTTAATTTGAGAATAATAATTTGGAGGTAGTTTTGGTAAAACATTTAGCTATTTTTATTACCAGGCTCCAATCATCGTAATTTTTTTCTAAGCATTCTTATTTGACATAAGTATCATCATATAAATGTATGGGGTTTGCTCCATGTCCGAAAGTTAGCTACCTCAAATAACAGCTGCATCCGCCCCTGATCTTACCGAATGTATACTTACACGGCAAAAAAAAAAATTGTTTCATTTTATTAGCATACTTTCTTAACAGTATAAAATACAGTAAATTCTGAGATATATGGTAGTCTATCCTGGATAAATTGACATGAATTACTCTAATCCAATAGAAACTGGCTACAGCTAAAACTTAACTACAGAACATATTTTTTTTATTTGACAAAATTTTTCAACAAAAATTATGATCGGAACAAAATTTTTTATTAGCTTTAACTGTACAGACTTTTGCTAGTAAAAGTGAAAAATTCACGTAAGTAGAGTAAAAAAGAACTTTTACAATTTACATTAGCTTAAAACAGCTTACTTAGTGCTGACAAAATTAACAATAACAACAATAACAACACAACAACAACAACAAAAAAACTTCACTCTATAAATTATCAAAGATATATTAGCATAAAAGCCACTTAGAAGTTTGGAGTATAATGTAAATAAATAGTTATTGCTAAAGAAAAGTATCATTCTATTTAGATATGGATCCAAAGTTAAAATTCATTTTGATTGAAAACCTTTCGCCGGAATGGAAAAAATTTGCTTATGGTACTGGAATAAATTCAGCTGTTGTTGATTATGTTGATCTGGATGATAGGAGTTATCAAGACAAATTGGAAACCTTTCTTAATGAACTGGTTAAACGAAATGCAACTAATTTTGTTTCAATGATTGAAAAGTCTTTAAAGGATTTAGGGAACATGCGTGTCTTAAATGAAGTAAATACTTTTTGTAAGTATAAATACAACTTTAAAATTTCTTGACTTTCAAATTCCTTCACTTTACTTTTTTTTTGCATTCATAATGCTACTTTTACAGCGGTTCATTAAAATAAGGTGAGTTTTAATAAAAAAACTTTTTCAATTGTCAGCTAAATTTAAATTCATTGAGAGATTACAATTTTTATTCATTAACCTCTTGGTGTTCCAGATTTATGACCATATAAAGTTTATGTTTTTCCGAATTTATTAAGTTTCAAACCTCTATGGCAACGTCTATTAACAAATTAGATTATGAATAACTGAGAGTATGAATAATTTAGAAAATGCATAATGGAGATCATCCATATGTGGATGATCTCCAAGCTCTTTTTAAAAAATATATTATTAATCAAATTTATTATTAAACATACTACAAGCTCTTTTTAAAAAATATATTATTAAACAAATAACAACGGCAATTATAAATAGAATTATTTACAAGATAAGAATAATCTTGTTTTATCACTACTTTTTGAAAAATTTAAGTTATTAGTTATGTTATATGTCTTAGAATATTGTTTATAATACTGTTTCAAAATCTATCTTATAAATAAAAAAGTTTGGGAGAAAACTTTATATCTCTTTCCCTGAAATTTTCATTTAAAATTATTTTCTCTCAAAATTCAAAAATTTTGTTATAAAACAAAATAACTCTTTTTCTACTAATATTAAAGTAACAATGGCAATCATAATGTTTGGTTGAACAATGGCATACAAATCATAAATTAAAGTTTGGTTGAACAATGCTATATAAATCATAAATTAAAGTTCGGTTGAACAATGTCATGCAAATCATAAATTAAAGTTTACTTGAACAATGGCATGCAAATCATAAATTATAGTTTGCTTGAAAAATGGCATGCAAATCATAAAATTAAAGTTTGCTTGAACATTGGCATGCAAATTATAAATTAAAGTTTGCATGAATAATGGCATGCAAATCATAAATTAAAGTTTGCTTGAACAATGGCATGCAAACCATGAATTAAAGTTTGATTGAACAATGGCATGCAAATCATAAAGGAAATTGGTGTAAATGGCTTAAAACTTATTTCACAAAGCATTAACTGTTTTTTTTGGCATACAATATCGAAGGTAGCTCAAAAGTTATTCAAAGGTTTTTTTTTATAAAAGTTTGGGGTGAATCTTGATAATGCTATTTTTGTATTTAAGTTTAATATTAACTTTTTACAAACCGGAAGTGTTTTTAAGGAAGGAACTGGATTAAAAAGATGTACCAACTTAAGATCAATCTCATGTTTTATTCCTTAAATTTTTCTCTTTTCTCACATCCATTCTCTTAGCTTCTTTTCGCATACTTTTACATTACTTGTGTTTTTTTCAGTAAAACTATTGTTACCAAACATGAAACAATAAAATTTTAATTTCCAGCAATCGTTTTTTCTTTGGTAGTAACATCGTTTTTAATTCATCTGTATAGTTCAGTGTCAACGTAACAGGGTAGAAGGAAGGGTACCTGGGTACACGTGCTCCCCGCTACCTCCTCCACCATTACTTTTTTTTTTAAAGATTTTTGTTTCTTATACAAAAAAATTTCAGATATAATAGACTTTTTTTAAGAAACTGACAATTGTCTTCCTTTACTTTGAAACCCGTGTCGTCGTCTATGTAGGTCGTTTTTATACTATACTCTAAATAATTTATATTGCCTGATTAGCAAAAATGTAAACTGCTGTCAATAGTTTAAGAAAATTGTTTCTTTAAAAAGAAATATTTATTTTCTTTTGAAAAATAAAAAACACGTGGTTTGAAAAATAAAAAAACGCGTGAAAAATAAAAAACGCGTGGATGTTTGTTTCCTAAATCAAAAACTATTTATTTTTTGTTTAAAGATTTACAGCAAATTCGTAAATCCAAATTTAAGAAAGTAAATCCTTTATTTAAAAAAGTTATATCTCTTGGTTTGTAAAATTCTCTTATTTCCAGGTATATATAACCTGTTTGCAGTATGAGAAACATTTTCTCATACTGCCTTCTATTAACCTGAATATTCATTTTTTTCATCTAAAAATCTCTAATACTTCATAATTGGGCCTAAAATATAACTTCACCAAACATATTTTGAATACATAAATGTGTTCAAAATATTTATAATATATTTAGTTTATAATTATTAATAATAATAAAATTATTATAATTTATTTAATAATTCAATTCAATATATATATTTTGAAATAAGTTGTAAAATTTCATTTGTAAAATTTTCTTTTACAAATAGTACAAGTACTTATCTAAAGTAAAAACCTGCAACATTACAATAAAAGTGATCATAATAACAATGATAATAATAACAGTAATATTAGTATTGATTATAATTATAGAAATAATATTAACAATAATAATAAGATGACGATGAAGAGGAATATTATTAGTAAAAATACTAACAATAATAATAAAAATATTATACAATCAATATTAGATAATAACAATAATAATGATAACAACAACTATATAGTATAAGTAGTAAATAAACTTAAGAAAAAAATTAAAAAAAGCAATAATGTTATTATGTTTTAAATAAAAATATAAATTTACTAATAAAGATAGAAGAATATTATGAGTATCAATACTAACAATAACAACAAAAATATGAGAACAAAAAGTTAATAATAAAATTAGTAGGTATCAAGAGAGTAGTAATAATAAAAGCATAACAATATATTTCAGAGGCTTCAGGTATAATATCATGCTAAAAAATAGTTAAAAAGACAATTTTTAAAATTAGTAATCGAATCAATTAATTTTAGTGGTGAAGGTAGACTGTTCCATGATTTTATTATTTGGTATTTTATGGATTTTAGACCATAGCTATTAGCAGATCGTAGATTATAGCTATTAGCAGATCTTAGATGAGAGCGACAGCTTTCTCTAACAGTAAAAAAAATTTGTAAATGTGCTGGGTAGGCATTTTTGTTTATGATAGAAGACAAAATGGCAATTTAATAGTTGAACTAGATTATCAATTTTGAATATTTTTGATAAAGTTAGTGTCATCAGCAAAATGGTAGGAAGTTGTATATTTTAATGATAAATTAAGTTCGTTAATGAAAACAAGGAAAAGCAATGGTCCTAACACAGAGCCTTGAAGTACACCTGTAGTGCATTTTACTAAAGAAGATGTTTGACAGTAGCGAAATTGGGCGATAGTTAGTGTGTTCAGTTCTAGAGCCTTTTTTATAAAGTGGAATAACTTTAGCTATTTTAAAGACATCTGGAAAAAGTCCATTTTTCAAAAGAGCTATTTATCATTGTACAGAGAGGCTTTGAGATGATATGGGAAACAAGTTTGAGAAGAAACGTGGGAATACTATTGATACCTAAATTTTTTTTACTTTATAAACTTTTTATAAGATTTGATATTTTATTTTTAGTAACTGGATCTATAAAAAAAGAGTTAACATTTGGGTTATTTAAATAGTCTGAAAAATTACATTTAGGTGAAACAATTTTTGTTAACAGTGTTTGTTGAGTATTTACAAAGTAATTATTAAATATGTTTGATACAGTTTTGCTGTCTGAAATTGTATTGCCATTAAATTTGAGATTAATATATTTACTGGAAAAGCAAGGTTTGATATTAATAATTTCTTTTACACCTTTCCAAGTATTTTTTGCATTTTAAAGATTATTGTTAAAAAAGTTGAAGTAATATGATTTTTTAGAAAGTTTTAGTAAATTGCAAATGTTATTTTTCTACCATTCAAATTTATTAAAAATAGGAATTTTAATGTTATGATTTTTTTATATACGGTTTTTATAGTTTGTTTTTAATAGAAATTGATTTTAGAATTCCATTGGTGTTCCAAGGTTTTGATTAAAGTTTAATTTGTTTAGTTTGTTTAGCAGTTAGTTTTTTATAGGGTGCATGTTGATCAAGAATTTTAAAAAAAGTTTTAAAAAAATAATGCAATGATTCATTGACATTATTGTTATTTGTAATTTGTATTTGCCGGTCTGAATTAGAGATATCCTGAATAAATTTTTTATTATCGAAATTTTGGAAAGTCCGTTTGAATATTATTTCCTTGGTTTTTTTGGAAGATGGACAAGGAATGCAGATAAACTGCGCCATATGATCAGAAATCGATATTGTAAGATTGCCTGAAATTAAATTAGGAGTTAGGAAGTTTAAAAAGATATTCTCAATGAGTGTCTTAAATGTAGCAGTTATACGTGTAGGTTGAATTATAGAAGGGAAAAAAGAATAAGAACATAATGTATCAAGATAACTAGAGATAACTATGGATTCATTATAGTTTAACAAGTATTAAAATCACCCAAAAGGGCAACTTGTTTATTTTCTAAACTAAGCCTCTCAAGCAAGGGATTAAAATGATCAGTAATGAATTCATTAGAGTTCATTGATGGATGTCGATATATAGTGCCAACAGTAATGTTTTGTTTATGGGAATTGACGATTTCAACAAAGATAGATTCCAGGTATTTCGGAGAGTATACTATTAGATCACTACGAATAAAATAGTTCAAGTTTGAGCGTAAATATAGAAGAGCACCACCTTTTTTTGCCTCAGTAGGACTATGCTCAATAGTTAAACCATTTATATTAACATCATTTTTACTGGAATCGTTAATATTTAGTCTTGATTCAGAGATACCAATTATTATTGGAAGACTGGTAAAAGAGCTTTTAAGACTGTTAAAAAAATTAGTTGAAGTATATCCCAAGGATATAAATCATTATTTGTTTTACTGCTACATTCGTTAATTAACTAGTTATATTCAAACATTTAAAATATTTCTAATGTTTCAAAAGATGTTAACAATAATATATTGATGCTTGCAATCACATTACCTGAAAACAAAATTGAAATTTGGTTAAATAAACGTGAATGCTTGAAAAGAAAATAGTTAAAATCAAATGAATTATAAAAGTGATGCTTTAGATGCACTTTTATATTAATTATATAAATGTACTCTCTACCAAAAATC